AAATAAGGTTTAGTTTTAAGTTACACGGTAATTACGGTCCACTTTAGTTACGTAACTAATAGTCAAAATTAAGTACCGTCGAATTGTAACAGAAGAATAGTACACACACACACACACACACACACACACTTAACATTAGCCATAGATCATAAGCGGTGGAACATATTTGAATTTTGGGGAGGAGCACCGACGATTGGGGTCACTTATTTTCTATGTTAACCACGACCATTGCGTGAGAGCTATACACAAGTCTGTATTCCCCATTCAAAGGGGCAATTCACTACCAAGTTAAAACTGGAGGTACGTGCCCCCCCCCTTCCGCCACATATGACAATGGAATAAACTATCCTAGCAATAAATTCATATTTTAAGAGTCATCTGTGAGGGCTGAGCTGAGTGCTTTCCTTATTGGAAGCCAAAATGTTACTCTTCCGAATGTTTAGCACTTTTTTTCAGTGTAAACCTAGCAGATAGTGAATTAGATAGTGAATTTTGTGAACGAATCTAATCCACTACACCCAGTTTTGAAGTGAAAGGTGTGTATAGACCTGAAGGTCGGTAGGTGAACAACGTGATTGTGTTGTAGGAACTCTGAAGGACTGTGGTGGAACTGTATTTTTCACTATGAACACCACTTCTATTCGTTAAGTATTTGCACACTTAAGTGACAATGCACATAAAGCTATCTTAAACGAACATGTTTCAAAAGCCACGTTTGCGGTTTGTTATACAAGCATGAATGCTCTTTGTAATAGAGCGCTTAAACCCACCTCACGGTAGCAACAAAATCGTCTTTGAACGTAACGTGTGTGTGCTTTCTTATAGCAAAGCCACATGAGGCTATCTTCTGTGTCCACCGAGGGGAATTGACCCCCTGATTTTAGCATTGTAAATCCGAAGACTCACCATTCTTGAAACTATCAAGACAAATGCATTCAAAAGATGGGATTACAACCTTCCAGTCAAGTTGTCGAGATCGTAAAACAATGAAGAAAAAAATGGACCCGACATACATTAGAATGTTATTAAACCATGCTTAATTCAATAGCAACAGTTATATCAAGATTGGATCTACGACTTATAAATACAGTGATGAATAAGGAGGCATTATTTCCTCTCTCTCTCTGTGTGTGTGTGTGTGTGTGTGTGTGTGTGTGTGTGTGTGTGTGTGTGTGTGTGTG